GTAGATTTCTTAGGATTTTCTACATATATGATCACATTGTCTATAAATGCAGTTTATTTTCCAACCCATACATCTTTTACTTCTTTTTCTTGCTGTATTGCACTGGCTAGGACCTCTAGTATGAATGAAGTGGTGAGAACATTCTTGCTGTTCCCAATGTCAAAAAGATACCCATTAAAGTGCAGAAAATGAGAGCCTTTATTCAGGTGAAGCAATTTGCAAACCCCAGGGAAATGCAAACAGAGTCTAGTGAGACCAAGGGGAGGACGCCTTTTATAGAGAAAGTTCCCAATTGGTCCACTTTTATGCCAGTGAGGTTTCCAAATTCATACAGTTCTGACTGGTCATTATAGGACAGTTCTGACTGTTTGGTATAGATGCAAATGAGGATACAGTGGTACAGTTCTGACTGAACAGGGCAGGTTTCGGTCCATGGGTTGAGAGACAGAACCAGGGCCCCATCTGGTGTGGCTCAGTCTGTTGGAACGTCGTCCCGTAAACTGAGAGGTTGTGGGCTTGATTCCCAGTCAGGGCACATACCCAGGTTCCCAGTCGGGGCGCCTATGAGAACGCAACCAACTGATGTTTCTCTCTCACATCAATGTTTCTCTCTCTATGAAAAAATGTCCTCAGGTGAGGAAGGGAGGGAGGGAGGGAGGGAGGGAGGGAGGGAGGGAGGGAGGGAGAGAGACACGGGGAGAGGGGAAGAGAGAGAGAGGGAGAGGAAGGGGAAGAGAATGAGAATACCAGGGCTTCCCTGCAGGGACTGACTCGGCATAAACAAGCAGGGCACATACAGTACGGGCAGCTGAGAGGTCAGTCTGAGGTTCTTCCCGCTGTACAGAGTAAGTGAGGAGCACCTGTCAACAGGTGGCCATTAGGCTCTTATTCCTATAATTTGGGCCATCACTTGACCATGGGAAGTTCATCGCAGCAGATAAATTCCTTCTTGGGGTCCACACCAGTCTTAGAAGGAAAAATTCAGTTTTCCCTATTAACTCTGATGTTACATGTAGATTCTTCAAATGCTCTATGTCAGGTTGAGATGAAATACCTTTCTGTGGTGGGCAGAATAACCCCCAGAGATGTCCAGGTTCCAAACCCTGGAACCTGTGAATATGTCACCTTACACGGCAAAGGGAAGTTTGTGGATGTGATTAAGTTAAGGATTTTGAGATGGGAGATTATCATGGATTGTCTAGGTAAACCCAATGGAAGCACAAGGGTCTTTGTAAGCCAGAGGCAGGAGGGTCAGGGTTTGAGAGAGACTAGCAGATGCCGTGCAGCTGGCTTCGAAGGTAGAGAAACAGGCCAGGATCTAAGGAACGCAGGCAGCTCCTAGGAACTGAAAGGCAAAAAAAAATCCTCCTCTAGAGGCTGTACAAGAAACACAGGCCTGCTGGCATTCATTTTAGTTCAGCAGTTTAGTGGCTTAAACCAACACAAATTTATTAGCCTCCAGTTATGGAGTTCATAAATCTGAAATGGTTTCATAGAACTAGCAATAAGAAACTATTATACTTTATGTTTTAAAGATTTACTTAAACCTTCAAGGGAAAGGAAGGGAGAAAAAGAGGGAGAGAAGCATCTATGTGTGAGAGATACATCAGTCAGTTGCAGCTCATGTGCTCCCAACTGGGGACCTGGCCCAAAACCCAGGCATGTGCCCTGACTGGGAATCGAACCAGCATCCTTTCGGTCTGCAGGCCAGTGCGCAATCCACTGAGCCACACCAGCCAGGGCGCCATAATGTATTTTATATATTGCTGGATTCAATTTGCTAACAGTTTATTAAGGATTTTTTGTGTCTATATATATGAGGGATATTGGTCTATATTTTTCTTGTAATGATGTCTGGTTTTTACATCAAGGTAATGCTGACCTCATCGAATGGGTGGGGAAGTGTTCTGGCATTTATTTTCTTAAAGAGTTTCTATGGAATTGGTATTACTTCTTCAAATGTTTGACAGAACTCATTAGTGAAGCTATCCGGACCTGGTCTTCTTTGTGGGAAGTTTGAAAACTATAAACTCAGGGTTTTTTGTTTTTAAGATTTTACTCACTTATTTTAGAGAGACAGGAAAGGAGGGAGAGAGGGAGAGAAACACTGGCGTGTGAGAGACACATCGACTGGTTGCTTCTCACAGGCCCCCAGCTGGGTACCGGGCATGTGCTCTCACCAGAGCCGGACTGGTGACCCTTAGGTCCACAGGCCAGCGCACAATCCACTGAGCCGCACCAGCCAGGGTTGGATTCAATTTCTGTAACAGATATGGAGCTATTCAGAATTTCTACTTCTTGTGTCAGTTTTGGTAACTTGTGTCTTTTAGGGAATTCTTCATTTCACCCAAGTTGTGGAATCTGCTGGCATAAAGTGGCTCATATTACGCCCTTATTACCCTTCTAATGTGAGCAGGACCTGTAGCGGTGTCCCCTCTCCATTCCTGATATTGGTGATCTGTGTGTTCCTTTTTTTCTTCGTCAGTCTCGTTTGAGGCTTATCAATTTTATAAATCTTCTTTGAAGAATCAGCATTTGATTTGATTTTTCTCTATTATTTTCTATTTTATTTTTGCTTTATCTTTCCTGCCTTCTATTTAAACTTCTTATTTTTGTAGCTACTTAAGGTGGAAGCTTAATTTATTTCATACCTTTTTTTCCTTCACATGTAAACATTTAAAGCTAGAAATGCACTCTTAAGTACTGACTTAGCTGAGCTCACAAATTTTGTTTTTATTCTCTTGTGATCAGCAATGAAACCTTTAATGATTTCAATCTTTCTAAATTGTTTTTATAGCCCAGTCTAGAGTCCACCTCAAACATTCCACATGCACTTGAAAGAAAATGTGCATCGTTGATAAGGGCAGTGTTCTAGGTTAATTAAGTCACATTGGATGCCTGTATTGTTCAAGTCTTCTATAGCCCTATTGATTTTCTGTCCAATCAAGTTCTGAGAGAGGAATGTTGAAATTTCGAATTATGGATATCTATTTTTTCTGTTCATTCTGTCACTTTTGCTTCATATATTTTGAATTTCTGTAACTGGGTACATACAAATTCAAGATTTTTTAAAGATTTATTTTTTAGACAGAGGGGAAGGGAGGGAGAAAAATGAGGGAGAGAAACATCAGTGTGTGGTTGCCTCTCGCATGCCCCCTACTGGGAATCTGGCCTGCCACCCAGGCATGTGCCCTGACTGAGAACCAAACCAGCAAGTCTGGTTCTCAGGCCAGCACTCAATCCACTGAGCCACACCAGCCAGGCCAAATTCAAGATTTTTTGTCTTCTTGATATGTCCCTATATCTCTGGTAATACTGTTGGTCTTGAATTCTACTTTGGTATTAATATAACCACTCGAGCTTTCCTATTATTAATGTTTACATAATATATATTTTTTACTTTTAGCCTGGGTTTTAATATACAAAGTATGTTTATGATATAGTTGGGTCTCGCTTTTTTAAAATGCAGTTTGAAAATCTCTGCCCTTTAATTGGAGTGTTTAATTCACTTCCTCAAAAATAAATGCTTCCTAAAACTAATCAGACTAAGCATCTGTGGGTTGGGATTCATTCCGCCTCTTGTTAGCATTCCACAGAGAAAGATTAAGTGACAGGCTCACCGCCTCTTCCAGGTTGTCTGTGACACAGTTTCCTGTCCCACATTTGTGAGGAGGGAATAATTGTACCTGCCTCATAGGGTGGTTATAAGAACTAGATGAGATAATCCATATAAGGCACATAGTTACACACTCAAAAAATGAAAGCTACAGATAGTTTTAGATCATTAGATGATAGTAATAATGGAATTTTACTGTTTCACTAAGCACTGTCTTCCTACTTGGCTTTGATGAAGTGTCGACTTAAGAAATGAACCCCACCTTAGATATCAAGGCGGGCTATGCATCCTCCTCTGCTGAAAACTACTGGAGACCTGTGTATTATAATGAGTTTATAGTTTTTTTTCCATATTTATTTTTCAACCATGTGCTTTCTTTTTTCAGCCAGTTTTTTTAAACGTTTGTTGAAATCCATGAAACTGTGCACTTTTAAATGTGTGCACTTCATTATATGTAAATTATACCTCAATAAAGTTGATCTTAAAAACTAAAAATAGCAAAACTGGAAAAATTCTGCCAAATACATGTGTATACTGTACATATATAAAGACTAGTAAGAAACCAGCATCCAGGCACCCAATTACCAGGTTAACTGTACAGTCCCTCTGGAGCCCCTTGCATGTACTTCTCTGATAATCAGTTACTTCATAGCTTTGCCATGCACACGTAATAGTTTGATTAATAGTTTGACTGCCTTTGACCTTTATATAAATAGAATGATGCAGAGTGTATGCTTCTGCGACTCGCTGCTTCTGCTCATTATTTTTAAGGTTCATCTGTGCTTATATGTGTAGTGGTCAGTAACACACCGCTGTATAGTCTCACATTCTATAACCCACCATCCCATCGAGGGCTCATGGGCTGTTTGCAGTTTCGGGCTTTTCCAAACAGCGCTGCCGTGAATGTTGTTCACGCCTTTCTAAGGGGACATCCTGGGACGGGACCGCTGGGTTGTGAGGACTAGTTAATGCCAGCTGCTTCCAGAGTCGCTCGTGCTAATTCTCCTTTTCTCCAGCAGGGTGAGGGAGTTGTTCTCTCCCCATGTCCTTGCTGGCATGTCTGACACATCTTCACATTCTAACTCTCCTGCCCACCTGGTCTTTCTAACAGCCGATGCTGAGTGTTCATTTAAACTGTGCCAGGCTCTGTACTGAGGCCTGTGTGTCCGTGATCTCATTCACTTCACAAGAGCCCTATCTCTTAGATATGCACTGTCATTTATGACCAAGAGCGCGAGAGCGCATTTATGTCCTTCCCTGCCCACGCTCTTCCGTATGGGCTCAGGGCTGTTCTATGTGGCCCCCTCACCTCTTCCTCCTCACAGCCAGGGCAGGGCCGGTCCCGGCAGGGCCTCAGTCCCACCCTGGACCCTTTCCCCCTCAGGCTGTTACTCCCTGTCAGTCCGCCTCAGCCGCCCTACATCCTGGGACCGGATCAAACACTACAGGATCCAGCGCCTTGACAATGGCTGGCTGTACATCTCACCGCGCCTCACCTTCCCATCACTGCAGGCCCTGGTGGACCATTACTCTGGTACGGCCTTCCCCCACCTGCATGAGAGTAGACTAGGATGCAGGTCGTAGGGGTCAGTGTGTCCTTAGACACTTCACCTAAAAGAACATCCAGACAGGCGGAAGAAGGGCCTCCCCTATCTTCATGCCAGTCCCTGGACCCAGAAGCGCAGGCTGGCAGCCCTCCCTGCCCCACGCCCTGACAGAGCCACACAGACCTACCGTGGAAGCGCGGGCCAGTAACTCGCCCACCACTGTGTTCTGAGTCAGAGCTTTCTCTCCCCAAGAACTAAACCCCGATCTATTGCTGTTGGGGAGTTCAGTTGATTCGGAGCATTTTCTGGTGCCTGTGCAGTAACAGGCACTGGAGGGTGCAGAGGGCAGGCTGACCAGGGGTTTGCGGGAGGGCTGTTCAGGCGACAGGTGCTAGCAGGAGGAGCGGAGATGGAGCCTCCCTCGGCTCACTGCCTCCCCAGGCCCTCTCCTAGCCAGAAACTGGGCTCAAAGGGGCCTGTCAACTTACCCCAAACCAGTCAATTCCGTCTCCCCAAGCCTAGCCCAGGATGACTTTTGATCGCATCTCAGCTTGTAGGAGACCGACAGCTTGGGGCTTATGCACTGTAACTCTCTTTAGACCACAGCCCCATCTGCCGAGATAGAGCTGCTGGGGCGAGGGTGGGGCTGTCGGGGAGGAAAGTAGGGCTGGAGTCCACCATGTCAAGGGTCTAGGTCTCTTTCTCAGAGCTGGCGGATGACATCTGCTGCCTCCTCAAGCAGCCCTGCGCTCTGCGGAGAACTGCCCCAATCCCTGGCAAGGACATACCCCTACCTGTGACTGTGCAGACGGAGCCCCTCAACTGGAAAGAATTGGACAGGTGAGGGGACCCCTAGAATACGAAGGCAGAACAAAGGAGTTAGAATTCACCCCTGGGAACCCACAACCCAGAATGAGTCTGTCCCCTGCAGGGTGCAGGGGCCAGTGAGCACTGATGGAGCTCAGAGGCCAGCCCCGGCTCTGCACGTGTGTAGGGGGACTGGCCGGGAGGAGAAGGTGGGCATGCACGCAGGGCACACCTGGACTACCAGGTGGCCAGGGCGAGAGGAGGGCCAGACAAGGTGGGGTGGAACAAAGAGCCCCGTCCTGACGGGAGAAGTCAAGCTGGGGGTTCATCTGATAGGGAATGGGGAGCCGCTCCGAACGTTTCAGCAGGAGGGACTTGAAAATGGGGAACTGTGTGGGGAGTTCAGGGAGGACAGTGCTCCTCGACCCGACTCTTTTCCACTCTCCGCAGCTCCCTCCTGTTCTCTGAAGCTTCTGCCACAGGGGAGGCGTCCCTGCTCAGCGAGGGGCTCCGGGAGGCCCTCAGCTCCTACATCAGCCTGACCGATGACATCTTGGAGGATGCCAAACCCCAAAGCAGAGGCCGAAAGGGGAAAGAACGCTACAGCACCTAGGACCCCAACACAGCTCAGCCTGAGCACCCAGAGGCAAGGCTGTGCACTGCTGGGGAGGGAGGGACACAGAGGCACAGTCAGGGTCCCCCCTGTATCCTCTGTTCCTTCCTCTCAGCCCTAAGAACTCACAGCCTTCTCCCAGTGCCATGACCCTGCCAGCAACCTCAGGTTCACACACACCGATGAGGGCCGGGCCAGGGCTCCAAAGAGACTGAACTCCCTCTGTGGCCTGGTGTCAGTGCCCATGTTTGAGTATTCCAGCACATCTTCCTCCCCTACCAATAGAGTCCCATTCAAACCCCCTGCCTGCTAAACAGTCCCACCCAGAAGGTAGAAACTACCACTAGCATCAAGAAGAAAAAAGTCCAAATTTACAAGGGGCGGGAAAGCAGAGGAGACAGATGGCTCACCAGAGCAGCAGAACCTGGGCTGTCCAGCCGCCCCAACCCCAAAACAAAAAGCAGGACCCCTGACAGTCTGGGTCCTCGAATGTCCCCATCAAGTCCCTTCTCTGGACCACCATAGTTCTCAGCTCTCTACTTCCTTTTGCAGTTTGTCCTTTGGACCTGGCCAAGCCTTACCAACATTGCCATCTGGTGGCCAAATGCAAAATGACACCTTCTGAGCCTAGCACACTGTGATGAGGTCAGTTCCGCGTGGCCCTTGTGCTGAGCAGGAGCACTAGGGTGTTGGAAGGTGTTAGCCCTCTGTCTCCAAAGCCAAGGCCTCAGCATAAACCCATAAAGGGAGAGAGGCCGGATGAAGCTGCTAAGGGAGCAGGGAGAGGAAGAGGGATAGGGATGGGAGGGCAGCGCCTCTAGTGTTCCTATGCGGCTCTCGGGTTAGAGGTGAGGTGAGAAAGGCTTTACCAGGTACCATCAACAGGTTGTCGATTAAAGATCTGATTTATTCAAGTATGTGAAAGCACTCTGCAATGGCAACTGTTACCTGACGCTGCTTGTACTGTGCTATGAGCTGCGCACACACTGCCGTGCTGTTTTCAGAAGACCAGAAATGCCACTGATAGTTTAAAAACTGTACACCTGATGGAGAAGTGAGGAAGACAATTTAATGTTTCATCCGGATCCAGATTTGCATAAAATTAAATGACAGCTCCATTCTGCAAATAGGTGTTTCATGATGGTATCCAAGAAGAAATGGTTGGTGATGGACAATTCAGAAATGCTTCCCCAAAAAGTGGGTGGCTCTTTAAAAAGTTTCGGGTTACAGCCCTTGCAGAAACACTGAGGCCCAACACACTGATTCTTGGTCCAGGAAACATGGGTCTTCAGGTTCCACGTGGCTGGGTGCTCCTATAATCATGTTTCTGTGCTTTAACTAAGAGGGTCCTTTGGACCAGACAGGAAGCAGGTGGGCACTGTGCACCATCAGTCATAGTGGATGGCCGTGTAAAAGATGATCCAGATGACCTGGAGGAGGAAAGCAATGTTCATAGGTCACCTGGTCAACACAGGCCCCTCTCCCACAAAACGGAAGTGTCAGATAAGAATGTGTGCACAGTGGGCAGTGCTATCCAATGCTAAACGGTTTAGGGACCTACATAACTTCACTGTAATCGAGCTGTCTCTACCAGAGCCCGGGACCACCCACGTGTGCTCCCAAAGGGACCCCGGACAAGCCTCTCAACCTGCCAAACAGCAAACCAAGTGCCGGGGAGGCGTTACAGATGAGAAAACAATGCAGGTAAAGCAGACTGTACTGCTAGTAAGCTGTTAGGATTAGCAATAAACGTGACAGCAAAACCACCACCACACCCTGCCAGCACCACATCACATAAATCAGATTCTCGTAACTGACTGTCCGCTGCGCTTCCCAGCACCTTGAGGAGTGTATGAGGTGCATGCAGATGCCCAGCGGCCACCTCCCAGAGGTGTTTTTTGTTTTTAAACTGGCTTGGGCTAGGGTCTATAAATGAAAAAACAAACAAAAAAAAAAACCTTTGAGATATAATTTGTATCCCATAAAAGTGTACAATTCAGAGGGGGGGGGTTTCTGGTATTTTTTTATTTTATTACTGAGACCATGAGACCATTTAAAAAAACACAATTCAGAGGTTTTTAGTATATTCACAGAGGTGTGTAAACATCACTAATTGATTCTGGAACATTTCCATCATTCTCAAAAGAAAATACGTTCCCATTATCAGTTATTCCCCCTTTCCCCTCCCCATAGCCCCTGGCAACCACTAATCTAATTTTTTGTCTGTATGAATTTTACAAACACAGAATCATACAACAGTGATCTTTTGTCTAGATTCTTTCACTTGGAATGTTTTCAGGTTCATGCATGTTGTAGTATGTATCAGTGCATCTCATTCCTCTTTGTAACCAAATACTATTCTGTATGAATATGTTTTATTTATCCATTCATTAGGTGATGACTTTGTACTTTGTGGCTACTATGAACAGTGCTGTCAATATATTTTTAAATGTTTCCCAGTGGTTTCTCATGTGCAGCCAGAGCTGAGGATCAGATGTGACAGCAGACGACAGGCCCTGCACTGCCACACCACGGGGAGACTGTACACTACATCATACCACATCTTTCGGGACGACAGGACAAGCGCAGATATGGCCTCTAGCCTCAGGAGCTTTTTGCAAAAATGGTGACCCAGTCACACAGGGTCACTTGATCATTAGGCTCCCCCTGAGTAACTCATGAGACGGTAATACTCGCTGTAAAAGTAGCAGCTACACATACCATGAACAAAGCAAAAGATGTCATAAACCCTTCTTTCGTGAGCTCCCATGTGCCGCCATATTCTTCCTCATCTATCTGTAGGTAGTTGCTGAAGTAGAGGTACAGGACTCCTGCATTGATCAGGCAAAACCTGGAAGAAGGGAGGACAAGCACCAAAAACAAACCATAAGCTTAGAAGACTCAGAACTCCCACCACATCGTCCAGCTCTACCAAGGTACTCACTATTGCGCAGTTAACTATTTCTGTTAGGAGAGAATGTGAAATAATACATGATAATTCCTAGGCCCTTGAAGGAGCTGCCCATCTGGCTGAGCTAGAGATAGAAGGAATAACTCTTTTAGTTGCCCAGCCAAAGCAAAAAATAAAATAAATTAAAAAGCAGATTTAAGTTCTCTAAACCCCCTTGAAGAAAGGCAGGCTGGTCCCAAGGACCCGTAGCTGACCTGAGCCTGCAGGTAGCTCCATCTGGGGTGAGGGGAGGCCATGGGACAAACGCTGTTAAGCTGCGGCTTCGTGGCCTGGTTGAGCAAGCAAGGCCACGTACTGAAGCAGCCCGCGTGTAACTCCCAGGCCACTTCCGGATGTGCACTGTCTGTCTGCTATGCACCTGATGCAGAGTTCTGCCCTCAGCTCAGTGTCTACCTGGGGACTAGAAACAGCAGTGACAGTGGACTTGAAACCAGAGGCTTGCAAGCACCTCCAGAGCTGTATGTCTTAAGACATGTCCCTCCTGAAGATGGAGGAAGAAAATGCAGAGAACTGGCTCCTCCTAATGGACGACATGCGGGCTGGTATGGGGCAAGGCAGTCAGATGCCGCCGAGTAATGTAAATCTGTCTGCCGGGGGGAGGGGTGGACCCTGAGCAAGGTGGCGGGTGAAGCAGGCCCGCGTACTTCGGGAAGTCCAGTGTGTAAGGACTGTAAGTGCAGGCTTCCTCCTGAGTGGAAGGAACCGGAGCCGGGAGGTTGGTGTAGACCAGCACCGTGTTCCAGGACAAGAGCACAAAGTTTGAGGACAGGGACTGGGGCAGTGACTGAATGGGGAGGGCAGAGGCCCCACAGGCTGGAGCCGAAGGGCGTGGGAGTACCATTGTTTCAGTAACAGAAGTACAGGGTCTGGAAGAAGGGTTTTCTTGGATTCACCTAAAATAAGAGTCCTTGGCTTGGCTGTGTTGTGGCCACATCCTTATCTTCTGCTGAAATCTTGGGACCTGGCCAATCTGGCCACTTTGCTCTAACAAGAGCTACATTTTGGGCAGGCTGAGTTAGTGGCTCTAGAAAGAGATTACTAATGGGACACAGAAATGTCACTCTGGGACTCGGCTAATACGCTAGGGCTGGAGAATGCGTGGAGGTGGCTGCGTGGTGAGGTGAGAGGAGCAGCAGCAGGAAGGTGGGAAAAGAAACGGCGGGGAGAAAGAACAGGGTGGGCGGAAACCCTGCCTTTAAGGGTTACACGCTTAGGAGAAAGTGCCGTCAGAGAAACAAAGGTGTGTAAATGTTTGGTGGTCGAGAGAGGGGTCTTGGAAAGGACTGAAAAGGCTCAAACTCAGCTTTGAAGATGGACACAATGTCTGTATTGTAAACGAGGGTGAGGGCAACACAGCAAACGTGTGAAGAAACGTGCTGCACTGGGGGCCAGAGAAGAACATGAGAAAGACTAGACTCTCAAATGGGTTTTTAAAAAAAAAAACCCTGTCAGGATCCAACAAAATGATGACTCTAACAAACACAATGGCTTCAGGCCGGAAGGCAACGTGACAACAGTATCGTACGCTGCTCTCAGGGGAATTCACTTCAGTTTTTGAAAAAACTTAGCAGAGTTCCCTGAGCGCCTATTGATCACGTGCCAGGCTCTATGTAGGAGACAGGCAGGAGCCCTCTCTGACAATATGCAGAACCTCAGCAGGCAGGGCAGCACCGTCACTCGGTTCTCGGGACATTATCCCTGAGACCCGAGGAAACGGTTTCCCCTTAATGGGCCCTCACTGATGGCCACACCAGAAGTGAGAAGCCACGCTGGGGTCAAAGCAGAGGGCAGCTGAGGGGTGGCAAGCGTCACCAGAACTCAGCACCAGAGCAGTTCTGCCCTCAAGTCCAGGCGGCTGGGTCAGACAGACGGAGAAAAAAATCAGTGTCCTGGGCCCCTGCCCAGAGCAGGGGTAATGGTGCCCACCAGAGGAGGGGAGGGACTCTAGTTTGGGCTGTGGCTGGACCATGTGGGACTGGACCCCACAGAGCAGTCCCAGGAAAGCAGCGCTGTGCTCTACGGGCCGCGAATTCACTCCCAAACACCGTGCTGCCTATCCTCTCACAGCCGTACCTTACCCCTCTTTCTAAGGTTATCACAGAATAACTGCAGTGAAGCACGTATGGAGTGCCTGTGACATACTAAGCACTACACTTAGCACTTTACTTGTATTATTCCATTTAATTCACACATTAATTTGATAAGGCAGGCATTTGTATTGCCCTCATGTTAATGATGAGGAAACGCAGTCTCAGAAGGGTGAGCCCAAAATTATGTAGTCTGAGAGTGGTAGAGATGGAACTTGAATCCAGAGCTTTCTATAAAGAAAGAAAAGGAAAAAAAAAAAAAAGAAAGAATAGAAAAGAGGAAAGAGAAGGAAAAAAAGAAAGGTTTGTTTGGCTAGCTTAACTCTTCTGCCACAGAGCACCGTGTACCAGACCAGCCCCAGTCCTCGCTGCGTCACTCCCGAGTGGGACTTCAGAGAGACCCCTCGGGAGCCCCACAAGACATGGCAGGGATGGAGCCTCTGACCCTCTCCTAGACAGAGTGGCCTTGGGGAGATTAGAAGCTTGCCCTTAGACTGCCTTCCCCCCTTCTCTGGCTTCTCTGCCTTTTCTCTCCTAGAAGGCTCAAACGGGGTGACCAACGTTCTACAAATAATTACCTGTATCCCACGTCCAACCCGGGAAGACCTGCGAGCCCCAGGTCCTGTGTCTCACCACCAGCAGGCAGCAGTGCTCAGCAAGTGTCCACTCCGCCAAAGTCAGGGAGAGAATAAACTCTTGCTGCTTCCCTGTACCGATGCTTTGCTCAGTATCACAAATCAAAAACCTCCTTAGTTAAGAGAGATATATTCCTTTTGGGTTATCCTCTGAGAAAACAGGCAACTCAAATGAGTTTGATATTCACTTTACCCTTTTCATCCTAGAGTTATTAAAAAGTAAGAAATATGATCATCCCTAAAAAAAAAATCAGTGTGATTTCCATGGTAAGGTGCCAATTGATATTCTCAGGATGAAAAGAGAAAAGGTCGCAGCCCTGCCTGTCATTTCCACCATGCTTGCCCACAGTTCCTATCTTAAGACAACTCCCACACACCCTCTCAATCCAGTCAACGGGGCACTGGACACATGGACTCACTTTCAGTGGCCCGTTAAGCAGAGCCACAACCAGGAGCTGGTGTCAGCTGTTCACAGAAGCACAATAACAGTGGAGCACCAAACCTTCGGCCTTTTCACTGCCTCTAAATTGCAAGGACCTGCCCTGGCTGGGGTGGTTCAGTGGATGGAGCATCAGGCTGCAAACCAAAGGGTCACCAGTTCAATTCAGTCAGGGCACATGCCTGGGTTGCAAGCCAGGTCCCCAGTGGGGGCCATGCGAGAGGCAACCACACACTGATGTTTCTCTCCCTCTTTCCCTCCCCTCTCTCTAGAGAGAAATAAAATCTTTAGAATAAAATAAAATGCAGGAACCTAAAACAACTTCTGAAAAAGCCAAGATTCAGTACATCCAGCGTCATGCCAGGTACGATGGAGTGGTCATCAAGTACAGAAGCTCTTCCACTTTCCCAGCTTCCACCACAACTAAATGATGCCTGCCACCAACAGGCCTGTGGTAGCCTCTCGCTTAAGGACCCATGAATGAATGGACTGGCCTGGCCTTCAGGAAGGTAACATAGCTGACCTAAAATGCTCCTGGGCTCGATGAAGCGAGGAGTGCTGCACCAGGCCCAGGAGTGCTAACCTGAGTGCACCTTTTTGCTTTAGCCATCTCACACGCATGCACGCACGTGCGTGCACACGTACTTTTAAAAAACCCTCCAATGTAGCAATGACCTTTTTCATAAGAGGAAAATATAATCTCTATTAGAAAGACATGAGATCATGAAAATGCAAGCTACCCAAGACTTACCCCGCTATTCCCAAGAAACCTCGTAATGGTAACACTCCCCAAATGACACCTAGGACCACAGCGATGATCTGTCGGAACCAGTAGATCACATCTAAAAACTCATCCTGTAGAAAAAAGAGAGATTGCATGCGTTATCTGGAGCAGGTGCCACAGGAGAACCTCCTGTAACAGGTAAGGAACCAAAAAGCTTCCTGCTAAACACATCTTCCAGTGAATTTTTCCCCAAAAGCAATAGTATGGGGCGCTCCTCTTCTTATACCAGAAGGTGGTAAGTAAAACAAAACAATATTTGTCTTTAGTGGTGACTTCTAGGGGCTGTGATCTAAAACTAAAAATTTTAGAGGTGAGCTCTCCCTCCTGGGAACACGCCCACGCCTTTCTTCCCTCTTAGACAGGCATTTCCTAAACTCTAAGGGTCCCCCAAGACTTGCAACCAGGGGGGCAATGGGCAGTGGCAGCTCGTCCCAGGTTAACCCCCTCAACCTGTCTCCAAAGCCTCTTTTTCTAAGACTTTCCAGCAAGCCAAAGCAGCCCTGCCTAGGATCATTTCTTTCCCATAACATTTTTTTAAAGGTCTGTCTTATTTATTCTTAGGGAGGGAGAAAGAGAGGGAGAGAAACATTGATGTGATAGAGAAACATCGATCAGTTGCCTCGAGTGCCCCAACTGGGCACTGGGCCACAACCCAGGCATGTGCCCTGACCAGAAATCAAACTGATGACCTTTTGGTTTGCAGGACGGACTATGCCCAACCAACTGAGCTACACCAGTCAGGGCACCTGTAACGTTTCTAGAGATCTAAAGCAGCCCCGCCTAGGCTCTCTTCTGTTGCTTTTTCTATACTAAGCCCTTCCTTTTTTCACTCTCCCCAACTTTAATAAATGTACTATCAAAAATTTTTTTTAGAAAAGTCATTCACCTTTTTTGAGAAGCTGCAAAAGTGATTTGGCTTGTGGTAAAATGGCTGATTGTTAGTAACTGTGCTATTGGCCACTGGTAACTCTTATCTGGGGGGGGGGGGGGGTGCCAAATACACTAATCCCAGGCAGAAGGGCAGGCAGGCAATCTACTCAGCACCATCTCCCCGCACACTGAATTCTGAGTAAGTCACAAAGGAGGGAACGAATTAGAAACAAAAGTGCTGGAGGCACGTGCCAGCATATCTACTCTCTGTACAAAGACAAGGAAGACTCGGGTTTCTGACCTGCCCTAGATTGCAGAAACCAGTCCTTACAGAAGGAAGAAAGAAATGACACAGCAGATTGGAAAGGGTTTGCAAGAGCTGGGTAGGGCTGGGGCAATTTCAGCAAGTGCCCCCCATCCCCCTTCACTGAAACTCCAGGGAGGAAAGCCTACTTCACCAGTATCCCCTGCCCCCCTCAAAAACTGCAAATATAACATTCTTTTCAGGCCAACTGGAATCAAGTTGTAAGTTGTTTCTTCCAGATCATGGAGCAGAGTCGGGGAGTGCCCAAACTCAGATCTAAATGTGTGTGACCAGTAAGGAAATCTTTGAAGCCCCAACCATTCCTCACACACGTTTCTTCCAGCCCCCTTACTCACTCACACACACATTCACTCACTCACCCATGCAAGGTGGTCTCCGTCTCCCCGCTCACACTTAAAGGTATTCGGTCTTTCTCATTCAACAATAAGGCACTGGCAGCTCTACTTTAGTGAGCCTCATTATGTGCCGCTGCTACCTGCACCACAGTACCCCACTTCAGAGTTGTTCTGAAAATTAAGTGAGACAACGCGGGGACAGCCCCTGTCCTGGAAAGTATGCAGTAGATGCTAACGACTATGTTAAGTAGTTAATTCGGATAAAGTAAGTCAATTACTCAAGATCCTACCGGGAGGAAAAGGCGGAGGTCAAATCAAATGCGGCTCAATCTCGCCATTCGGGCACACGCCCTGTCCGCGAGTTGACACTTCCTCTGCCCCCCTCCACGCTGCTTCCCGCGCAAGTGACCCAGGCGGCTCGACCGTTAGGCCACTGCGCTGTGAGCCCCGAGCTCGGCTCTCCGGCCCGCGCCCGCAGAGTTTGCCCTGACACCCCAAGACTCGGCCGCACCCGGGCAGGCTCGGGCCTGTCCCTGCGTCCCCGAGTGCCAGCCGGCTCCTCGAACCTGCGCCCTCGCCAGATCCCACCGCACCTTGTCCTCCCAGGCCGCGTCACTCCGCAGCACCTTGCTCCAGACAGACACTTTGAGAGCCCCGTTGGCCAGCTGCGGCTGAGACGATTCCTCCTTCCGCCGCCCGCCGCTCATCCTCCCGTCGCGCCGCCCGGGCTGGGCCTGGGGCGCGCGGGCCTAGCCGAAAGGAGTCGAAGGTCTGGGGTCACGGGTCACGGCGCGCGGGGCGGCAGTGACAGGCTCAGCACTGTGGCTCGGCGGCGCGCCGCAGTTGCCAGCACTTAGCCAAAGCGTCTAGCTCAGCTCCCTCGGCCGAACCCAAGGTGCCGCGAGAGGAGGAGCAACGCAGCCTGTGCGTCCTCCCGCCGACGTGCCCACGCAGCCAATCGACAACCGCGCAGCCGTTCCAGTGAGAAAGTAGCCGTAGACTCAGCGCAAGCGCGCTACGCATGGCGGAAGTGACGGTAAGCTTCCGCCCAGCGCGCAGTAAGGTGAGAGGAAAGGGACAATCTTGGAGGGAGGGCGACCCGGGCGCGAGGAGGCGCTGTGCAGACTGAAGAACGGCGTCTGAGGCGAAAGTGGAGGTTAGACCTGAGCGTCGCCGTTTGCCACAGCTTAGGTCCTCGAGCAGCCGGACAGGACGCGATCCTGCCTTTCCCGAGGCGTCCTTTTTAACCCAAACCCTGCTCCCCGGGAGCCCCAGGCTGCCCCTCAGGATTTAGCCCCTGCTCGTTTTCTCCCCTAACTCTGCAAATTGCCTAGGACGTCGTTCAGGACGTTAACTTTTTTTCTGTGATAACTTAGTGTTTCAAGTGAGCACTGAGACCCAAAAAGGAGAAATGGTTTTCTAAGGCTATATAGCAAGTTGGAACCAGCCGAGGACTCCTCACAGGGTTCAAGTGGAGAGAGTGCTTTATTAGGTATCAGAATATCTTGGTATTCCTCTGTTGTGTCCTCAATATGTGCTAGGGCAGTAGTTCACAAAGTATGATGTTTCTGGACCAGCAGCAGCCGCATCACCTGGGAACTCGGTTAGAAATGTGAATTCTCGAACTTCATCAGACATTCTGGGGGCGGAGCCTATAATCAGCGTTTTAATAAGCCCTCTAGGTGGTGCCATGCGCACTATGCTGTGCAGTAAGTTGAGACCAAAGCACCACCACACTTCTGTGCAGTGGATTTAGAGAGACAAAGTAACCTTCCCAGAATCACTTAGCTAGCACCTGGGTTTGTCTGATTCCAAAATCTGTACTTTTAACCTCAAGCTTTAAGTCTTAAAGAATAACAAGGTCAGAGCGGCCTTTGCATACCTTATTCATTCACCTGTAGTTCTCCACCTGACGTAAGCAAGAGAATCGCCTGCACAGCTTTTTCAGAATTCCATAGCTGGTGTTTTCCTCCACAATCTAACCCCAAGATCCTGTCTGAGTAGGGTGATGGTGCTGTACCCCAAAAGTGATACACACTGCGATACACACCACTCTTGTCTGGACCTGGTGGGGGGGCCACATAGGTCACATGGGTGTCCATCTTTAGTCCTTACTTTCCCCTGGATCTTGTTCTTTTTGGTCCAGCCTCTTTTCTGAACCCGTTCCCCTCCCATGTGCTAACTATGGTGAAGCCTAACCAGCTCACTGCAGCTTGGACGTGTACTGTCAGTCTGAACCCTCTTCTACAGGCTCCCTGGTGGCATGTGGCACTGGAGAGAAGCCGGCCACTCTGTCGGAGAATGTTGGAGGACTACCTAGCCCGTGGTCAAAGGTACGTTTTCAGTCTGCTGGGGCTGGCGGTAAAGGTTTGTGATAGGAAGCTAAGGAAGACCACTCTGAAGGAAGAGTAGGAATTAAGGGAATGACAGAGGGGAAGGTGAGAGAGCATTGCAGGAGATAAAACCATGTTGGCTAGTTAATAGTCAGGAATACAGCTACAGATGAGGAAGAAAAGGGAGGGTTGTGCTGAGGAGTTCGTTTGTATCCCAAGGGTGGAGGAGGAAGCCACAGAAAGGATTTGAGCAGGAGACGTCACTTTTCGGGTTTGCGTCTGAAGCAAGATCACTCTGGCTCCTATTTGGAGGACTGGATCGGAGTGGGAGACTAAAAACTGTAAAAGTTGTTCAAGTGAGTGTCAACCATGAAACAAGTAGTAATTGGAAAAAGGAAAAAGGTCTCAAGTGAGATTTAGTGGGGCACTGAAGATGGAGAAAATTGGAATAAAATGGAGTTAATTCTTTTTTTAAACTTAAAATTTAACTTGCTGTAAAATGTATGTAATTAATTGTCCATTTTTAAGTTTGTGGTTCAGTGGCACAGTGAAGTATATTCACTTTGCTCTGCAGTCACCCCAACCATCCTTTTCCAGAATATTTGTCTTGCAAAACCGAAACTTTGTACCCATTGACCTCCTTACCCCTAGCAATGACCATTCTACTTTCTCCCTGAGTATGACTCAATACCTCCCATGAGTGGAATTGCACAGTATTTGCCCTTTTCTGATTGGTTTATTTTACTCAGCATAACCTATTCAATGTTCATCATGTTGTAGCATGTGTCAGAATATTCTTCCTTTTTAAGGCTGGATAATTTTATTAAATGTTTGTTAAATGTCTTTTGTATGTACGCACCACATTTTACTTATCCATTCATCTAGTGAGGGAGAGACACTTGGGCTGCTTCCATCTTTTTGCTGTTGTGAGTAATGTGTCTGTGTACATTGGTGTGCAAATAGCCATTCATGTCCCTGCTTTCAGCTCTTTTGGTGTATACCCAGAGTTGAATTGCTGGATCGTATGCTAATTCTATTTTTAATTTATTGAGGGATTTCCATATTGTTTTCTGGAGCAGCTGCAACATTAATATTGCCACCAATAGTGCACAAGGGTTCCAGTTTCTCCACAACCTTTACAATGCTTATATTCTGTTTAAGATTTTATTTATTTATTTTTAGACAGAGGGGAAGGGAGGGAGACAGAGAGAGAAACAACGTGTGGTTGACTCTTACTCACCCCCTACCAGGGACATGGCCTGCAACCCAGGCATGTGCCCTGACTGGGAATTGAACCAGCCACCCTTTGATTGGCAGGCTGGCACTCAACCACTGAGCCACACTAGGCAAGGCTGTACTTTGTTCTTTTTGATAACAAGTGCTGTGAAGTGGTACTCATTGTGGTTTTGATTTTTATTTCCCTGCTGATTGGTGATGTTGAGCATCTTTTCATGTGCTTGTTGTCCATTATTATATCTTTGGACAAATATCTGTTCCAGCCTTTGTCCACTTTTGAGTCTGGTCATATTTGTTATTGTTGTTGAGTTTTAGGAGTTCTGTGTGTAGTCTGGGTATTAATCCCTAGTCATGTATGTAATTTGTAAATATTTTCTCCCATTCCGTGAATTGACCTTTTTACTCTATTTGGTGTCTTTTTATACACCAAAGCTTTTATTTTTCTAAGTTAAATTTAATTTTGTTTATTTTATCCTCACCTGAGGACATCTCATTTTCATTGCTTTTAGAGAGAGAGGAAGGGAGAAAGGAAGAAAGAGAGACACATGGATGTGAGAGAGAAACATCAGTTAGTTGCCTCCCACACACACCGAGGGGCTGAACCGGGGGGTCATACCCTAGGTACATGCCCCGACTGGGAATCAAATCCAGGACCTCTCAGTTATGGGACAACACTGCAACCAACTGAGCCACACGAGCCGGGGCTGAAGCTTTTCGTTCCAATGAAGTCCAGTTTCTGTACTTCATTGTTGCTTGTGCCTTTGCTGTCACATGCAAGACACCATGACCATATCCAATGCCATCAAGCTTTCCCCATTTTCTTCTCAGAGCTTTGTAGTGTTAGCTCTTAAGTTAGGTCTTTGATCCATTTTGAGTTATTTTTTTAAATTTATTTTTCAGTTCTAGTTGACAAGCCCTGGCAGGTTTGGCTCAGTGGATTGAGTGCTGGCCTGTGAACGGAAGGGTCAGTTATAGTTGACATACAATAGTATGTTTGTTTCAGGTGTACCACATGATGATGATTAGCCATTTATACAGCTTACAAAGTGGTCACCCCGATAAGTCCAGCACCCATCTGGCATCATACATAGTTATTACAGTATTACTGACTATTCCCTATGCTGCACTTTTCTTTCCCTTGACCATTTTTATAACTGGCAACTTGTACTTCTTAACCTCTTTCAGAGTTAAATTTTTTTTAGATTTTATTTATTTATTTTTTAGAGAGGGAAGGGAGGGAGAGAGAGAGAGAGAGAGAGAGAGAGAGAGAGAAACATCAACGTGTGGTTGCTGGGGGCCGTGGCCTGCAACCCAGGAATGTGCCCTGACTGGGAATCGAACCTGCAACACTTTGGTTCGCAGCCCGCGCTTAATCCACTGAGCTATGCCAGCCAGGGCCCAGAGTTAATTTTTTGATATGGTGTTAGGTAAGGGTCCAACTTCATTCTTTTATATGAGCACATCCAGTTTTCCTACCACCATTTGTTAAAAAGACTTGCCTTTCCCCGTTGAATAGTCTTCACACCCTTGTTGAACACAGTCAGAGGGCTCCCTACCTGTGGCACCCAGAAAAGCCGCAGTCTGAGGCAACAGGTTTCTCGCAGGCAGAAGGGCTTGTCTGTCAGGTAGCTAGACGAGGAGGCTGGAGACAAGGCTCAGGTCAGTCTCCCTGATCCAGGGTTCAGGGCAAGTTTTTAAGGCCAAGTTAAAGGCCAGTTTTCATTAGAGGACCGTGGACCTTAGCCACTTAAGGTAAGGGTTCTGGTGTTCAAGTTCCTGTCATGTCCCAGTCCTTTGGTTCTGGTTGCAGCTGGAGGACAGGGCATCTGTGCAGTGCTCTCTCTGTAATATAACTCAAGGATTGTATTTAGTCACAGATCTGCTCTAAAAGAGCAGAACTCCTTTTAAGTTGGTCAGGTGATTTGTGTGCTGTTTTAATTTGGTCATATGTACAAGGGTTCATTGCAGGGCTGTCTGTTCTATTTCATTGGTATATTTGTCTTTATGCCAATACCACATCGTTTTGATTACCATAGCTTTGCAGTATGTTTTGTAATCAGGAAGTGAGTAACTGTTCCTGTAACTGTTCCTTTTTCAAATTATTTTGGCTATTGAGGGTTCCTTAGGATTCCATATGAATTTTAGGATGAATTTTTCTCTCTCTGCAAGAAAAAGTCATTGGGATTTTGACAAAAGATTGCAATGAACCAACAGATGTCTTTGGATAGTATTAAAATCTTAATATCATCTTCCAACCTGTGAACACAAGGTGTTTTTTTCATTTATTTGTATTTTCTTCAATTTGTTCAGTGATGTTTTGTAGTTTTTAGTATATGATTTTCACCTCCTTAGTTAATTCTTAAGTGTATTTTCCTTCTGATGCTATTATAAATAAGATTATTTTCTTAGTTTCCTTTGGACTGTTCATTGTTATTGTATAGAAACAACTGATTTGGGGGCACTGATTTTGTGTCCTGCAACTTTGCTAAATCCATTTATTAGTTTAACTGTGGTTTTTTTCTTTTTGTGTGGATTTTTAGGGTTTTCTACATCTGTGATCATATCATCTGCACAGATGATTTTAGTCTCCCCCCCAAAAAAAGGTTTTTTTATATGTCATATTGTATTATATTGTGAAGCTCTGACCTTAACTCTGAGATTCATAGAATTGGTATTTACACAAGTATCACAGGAAGTCAACAGGCATGCGAAACCCGATCTGTGTTCCCCTCTCAGCTTTCTAGGAGCAGAGAAAGCCGAGCGGGGGAGCGATGGTGGGGAGCCCTTGTCCAGAATGTATCTAAGGGACTGTGTCTTGTTCCCATTTTGCTTTCACCCAAGGTTTCCCTTCTTAGGAAGTAGGGAATCTGGCTGAATTCCAGTGCATCCATCTGGTTAAACATCCTGGGTGGTCTAGGATGGAAAAGAACTTGAAGTCAGATTTGGAATTTGAATGAATTTGCCTTTGTCAGGTTGGGGCTTTTTAGCATCACGTAAACACTTAATCTCAGCCTTGGGGATGAGTAGACACACACTCCTGAGATCTGGTGGGTTCAGTTTCAGACCACCACAATGAAGTGATCGGTAATCTTTTTGTTGGAGAAGAATCTTGCCTTCAATTTGTGAAAAATGCAGTATCTGTGAAACTCAATAAAGCAAAGTGCAATAAAACAAGGTGTGCCTGTGTGTCCTCCCAGCTGAGTGCCTGTCATCCTGCCAGCTGCTCGTAGTGGGATCTGGAGGGGTAGGTGTGCTCTGAAAGATCGCAGCCCCAGACAGACATAAATGGGGTCACAGAAATCAGAAGCTCTGGAGGGAAAACCAGGAGCCATGGAAAGAACACCTGTTGTGAAGCCGAGGTCTGAGTTTGCATCCTGGTTCTCTCCTTTTTGCCTACAAATGTTCTACTAGCACTTAAAAGAGTCCTTAGTAGGTGTCAGTTTTGCTAAATATTTTACATTTGTTTTCCTCCAAAAGCTGTCCAAACTCTTAACCACTATACTGAGCTCTCCTTTGACTTTTTTTCTATAATGAATGTAGATTGTTTATGTAATTAAAGTGATAGTCTCAGCCCTGACCCATGTGGCTCAGTTGGTTGGGCATTGTACTACAGAGCAAGGGAACGCTGTTTGATTCCTGGTCAGGGGGTATGCTTGGGTTGCGGGTTCAGTACCCGGTCCAGGCACATATAAGAAGCAACTAATCAGTGTTTCTCTATCACATTGATGTTTCCTCCTCTCTCTAAAACAAGTAAAAAAATGATGACCTCAATAAGGCTATGCTTGACCTTAAGGCCACCACAGACCCCAGGAGGGCCATAGGGAAGTCAGATGGTTTGGGGAGACTACTTCATGGTACCCTCTTCCTCTCACTCCCTTTGAAAGATGAGGTGCTGTCTTCCCAACCCAGCAGTTTTCTGGGGATAAAATCAGTGCCCTGGTTACAAGTGACTGGGTCTGCTGTGGCATCAGTGAACAGTGTGAATTCCTGGACACGCTGCAGGAGGGGAGGTCTGGGAATTTGCATGTTCATCCCTCTTGATGATACTGATGCGTACCAAGGCAGGAGTACTACTTCTTTGGGTAATGAGTGCCAGTTCTGCCGCTAAAACCTGTGTGCTATTCAGCAAATTATCTTAGCTCATGTTTTATGGTCAGCCCTGTGCTGAGAGGCCAGATAATAATACACAACAGTGAAATGGATTACCCTATTTCATCCTCTTAGGACCTGAATATTCCCATTTTACCAAAGACGACGCTTAAGTTTAGGGTGGTAAACTCATTGCCTATGGTCACAACTAATGAAGTGACAGAGCTGTAATTTGAACCCTGGCTTAGGTCATAGTGAAGTGCCTGGAAACCAGAAACACTGAGACCAGTGATAATTATTACGCTCTCCCCCCCACCCCCCAACTTCTCTCTCTGTAGCTCCCGTGGTGGCTAACATAGTGAGGTTACAGCCACACCACTGTAGACCTGGGCCCTGTCTCCTGGCAACTTTCACATTATCAGCTTCCACACTGGGGTGTACCTTTTAAACCCAGATTCCCGATTCCCACCCTAGAGATGCATGGGCCTGAGATGGGGAATAGTTTACCAGTGAAGTCCGTAGAGAAATTATCACTTTCAAAAACAGTAAAAGGAAGAGGCCTTTCTTGACCACCAATCTAAAGGACTCCCCCACCAATCATCCAGACCTCCCTCCCTCCTCCTTTCCCTGTTGGACACAAGGGTGTATGTTTATACTGACGCCCAAGGACTGGAAGTGTCATCCCAGCCCCTTTGGGGCATGAAAAGGAAGTCTGGTAATACATAGCCAAACCAACTGCAGGTACTCAAGACCAGGGAGCAGAGAGACATTTAAAAGCTATCTCTTCAACGAGACTGTTACAGGAAAGGGAGGTGTTCTTAGATAACACTCCTCCCTTCGTTGGAGAGGGCCCTAGCCACATGATCCCCATCAACTTTCGTTATGTGCTTGCTTGCCCAGAGCTCGTCAGTTTGAAGCGCAGCAGCAGACTCTTGGTTTCAGTTCTCTGAAAAGAACTTGTAAGAAGCCATCCCTCCTGAGGCAATCAAACCAGCTGAATCACTTCTCCTTTTATGGGAATACTGTTTCCTAGATGTAAAATGAGTATTAAACCTATTTTGAAGAGCCCTTCCAGCACGTTCCTACTGTGCCAAGCACCCAGTTTGAGGGTTTCCGACAGGGAAGTGGGAAGGGTAGGACGCTGGGCGAATGAAGGGCTGAGATGGGGCTCTTTAATCTGGAGAATGTGGGCAGGGAAACTGTCTTCAAAGTCCTGAAGGAGCATGACCCGTGGGAGATCTGGCAGCCGTATTTGATTCTGTGGAACAAGGTTCTTGTGCTTTGCCCAAACCATGTTAGATAGCGGGATGCCAGCAGGTTGTGAACTGCCCATCACTAGTTCAAGTAGGGTCTGGGTAGACCTCAGGGTACCCTCCAAGCAAGACTGGCCTGAATTCGTATCCTAACTCCACTTAGAATTGGGCAAATAACTGACTCTCGGTTTCTTTACCTGTGAGGGAGTCTCACTTCATGTGTGTGTGTGTGTGTGTACAAACAGAATGAATAGTGCAGACCCAGGCACACAGCAAGACTGTTCATCACTACTGCGGGCTGTGTACTGATTGGGCTGCAGTTAGAATGTATAGTTACAGTTATGACAGAAATGCAACCCACAGCTAACTCAAAAAGGGGAATTTACTAGCTTACGTAATTGGGAAGTCCAGAAGTGGAACTGATTTCAGATATGACTAGAGCGTTCATCTCTCCGCTTTTGTGCCGGCTCCATACTTGCAGCCGTGCTCCTCCCTCGCCCGCAGAGGGAGAGGAAAACGTTGCCAGCTCCCCAAGTACCCACACTGCTTAGCAACCCCAAGGTTGCTGATCTCAGGGAAGACTGGTCCAGGGCACATGCCCCCCTGCACACTGATGAGCGGGACAGGGCTGAGGACCAGGAGACAAGGGTGCGGCGTGGACTCCCACACGTGGCTACTGGAGGGAGGGTGGGAGAGGTAACAAAGGTGAGAATGCACCAAGTGCCCCATCTCCAGGCTGGGCCCAGGGTCACAGTGGATCGATGTTTGATTGGAAAACAAAAATAAAACAAAACCCAAAATTTTTATTTGACAAAAACAAAACTTATTTACAGTAGTTTTCTGCCCAAATTACTCAATGGGATAACTGTGCTAAATCTCCTCCCAGTTTACCTCACAACTAAACCAAGCAGAGGCTGCCCAGCCCCAGCCTCCCTATCCTGCACAAGGGTGGGGGGAGCCTAACCAGAATCCAGCAGCATGGCTCCGGCACCCCCCAGCACCTCCATTGCTCAGTGCACTGCGGGAAGGAAGAGTCCCACCCCAGCCCGATACACTTCCAGTCTCCTGCTACAAGCACCTTGCAACAGTCACACCGGCCCTGGGCTCACAGACACGGGCAGGGTGGAAAGGCTGGGCAAACAGCAGCAACTAATCTCAAAGCTGCCATGTTCATCCTTCCCCAGCTGGGCCCCAGGAGTGTGAGGATCCCTGATCCCCTTCCCACCCACCCCAGGGCATGCAAGGAGAAGGCAGAGGAGGAGGGAGGAGGCAAAAAAGAGCCGAGGAAACTTGCCCACTCTGAGTAAAACTCCCTCTCCTTTAAATACTAATGTGCACTCCCAAGCAATTGGTGGGTCAAGCCACTCAAAGTGAGGGTGCTTCCCTCGGGACTGAAAACCTGTTTCCGCCTTTTCTCCTGGCCAGGCCTTACCAAGGCAGCCACCAATCCAGCAACTCTCTTCCCCCTTGTGCCAGGACTCGGCAACCTAAGGAAACTACAGGCTGGGGCTCCTGACCTGTCTTTTGGCCCAGAAACAATGTCCATCAGAACAAAAATATTTTGGCTAATAATAACCTAGGATTAGTGTTTCTTAGGATATATAAAGATGGGGTATATTGCTGTTGAACGCAGTTGGCAATGACACAAAAAATAAATGGGAGGGAGGAGATAAGACCAACTGTGATCTGTTCCACTGTGAAGTTCAGGGCAGGGGCCTCTGCAACTCCAGTGTGAAGAAAGGTGCAACACAGAGACACTCCCAGGGGCAGGCCTCCCGCTCTCCAGCCCCAGCTGCCTCTGAAGGCAGTTCCGCAGGCGGCTGGGGCCACTCTTCCTGCTTCCTCCAGGAATGCTTTCCTGCCACCGTGGTGGGAAAACCTGCCAGTAGATGGAGCTTTTGACATTCTGGCTCCGCTAATCCAAGTTCCTAAAGGAATCCAAAACTCAGGCTGCAGGGCAAAGCTTTCAAGAATAAAGGGGAAAACATTAAAGAGAAAAAAAACAAAAACAAAAAAACAAACCCTACTGCCTCTGTCTAGCTTACTTTTCCCACCCCCCAAAAGTACAGTAAAAACAAAAATAGAAAAAAACACCTCTCCGGTTTTTATCACCCTTCTCTGCTCTACGCCTAGAAGGTTTGGTCAGATTCTCTGTTGGCCCCTCTCTCTGGCTTTGGGTTTATTCCCCTCTGTGCCTGATGCAGAAAAGCCAAAGCCGGCATACATCTGTTTCCTCCTTTTCTCGGTAAACCAAACCAACAATAAAACAACCATTTGGAATTTTGCAGAGATGCAGCTGGTCCCCAAAATAAAAATACTCCTTCCTTGTAAAACAATCATCTGTTGCAATGGTGGACGACCATTCCCAGTTCATCAGACTCCATCACACAACGCGCACTGCCCCGTGCACGCAAACCACGGCAAAAAGGGAAAAATGAACACAAAGTTTAGCATAAACCTAAACATTCAACTGGAGTCGGTTCTACGACATCTGCTGGGTTCCTCTTTTCTTTTGTTCACACTTACGAACTTGGAATGTCCACACTTGGCTTAACAGAGAGGTCGGCTCAGGAGCAACTTGGACCCAGCGCAGGGCCGAACTTGGCAGGTTTTCTGTGCCGAGCCCAGGAAAGCAGGCTGGGACAAAGGTGTCCCGCGGATTCTCTGGAGAAGTAGCAGCAGCACCATGCCTGTCTCCACTCTCTTAGTCTCCTCACCGGGGGAGGCCTGGAGAAACGGCTGAGTCAGAAGAGGAGAGGTCCCCATCACAGCGCAGTGACACCGGCTGGTGTCTTCCTGCTGAAGACCTCAGGACAGAGGAGATGATCTTGATGTTTGGCAGTGATCCAAAGAAAACCCTCTGTGTGAAAGGGAACCAAAACATAAACCCAGAACAGCTGGCTTGAGCCTTGAACACCCCTGTTGGCAGATGCCTACTTGGGGTTTTCAGAGACCAGGGGGATGGGAGTGTGCAGTAATGGGGGCGACGGGTCCTGCTGCTTCTGAAGCTCCATCTCGGCAGCCCGCTGTAGCGCCACCTCCACGAGCAGCTGGAAGCTGCTGAAGTCCTCCTTGTCCTGCTCTGGGGGTGTGGGCGGTGGTGTATTGAAGAGTCCACCTGTGGGGCTTCCAGCTTCCGCCCTGGTCAGCAGGGTGAGGGTGTTACCAGGGGTCACCAGGGATTTGGCGGGCTCCAGCTCCCCCTGTGGGAAGGGGGCTGCTGGCTTTTCCCCCTGGCCCGAGTGGAGTGGCACGGAGCACACAGACAAGGAGAGCACATTGGTGGGGGCCGGCACAGACACAGCCAGCACCGAGGGGCTGCTGCCACGGGGGAGGGCCACATCTGAGGCCTTGCCCCCGCGGCGGGAAATGGTGTACTGGTTGGGGTCTTGGCCGTCCTTGCGAAGCATGTCTGGGAGAAGCCGCCGCCGAGCGTTGATGAACCAGTTACATATCTGGAATGAGTGTTAAGAGGCTGTGATCAGTTCACTCAATCAAAACCAGCTGTGAAGCACCTATGTCAGGCCCCAGAACGCAGCAGCAAACAACACACACACACACATACACGACCTCAGTCCTCAGAAAGGTTGATGTTGGGAGGGGAGAGTTAAAGAAGAAATCATACACATGAATATAAATTGCAACTCTGATTCAGCCGGTGAAGGAAGGTACCGTGGTGTGCTGTTGGAGACACTAATGGGAACACCCACTCTGGTCTCCGCGGGCTCAGGGTGGCATTCTCTGAGGAGATGGCTCCTAAACTGAGATCTGAAGGATGATGGGCAGTAGTTTAGGTGGGAGGTGGGAAGGGAGAGGACATTCGACTGAGGAAAATGAACCTCTAAAAAGACCCTGTAGCAGGTGGAAGCAGAGTGTCTCTGAGGAACTCGGAGAAGGCAGGCCTGGATGGCTGGAGCTCAGCGTGGTAACCAGAAGCTACCTCTATGGTGGGGATTTGGTTCTTTATTCTGAGGTCAGTGTGGAGAGAAGGAGGGTGTTAAGCCAAGGAGCAACCTGCTCTGTGGAGAGCAGAGTGAAAGCAGAGAAACAGTAGTTCAAGTTGTATTAAGAGAGATGACAAGAGGACAAATGTTTGACCTACTGGGGAAACGGGAAAGGAGAGGATCTGGTGCCCAGCGGATACGGGGTATGAACTGGAGGAGACGGGGCAGTGCCGAGGGCGACTCACTCCTGAATTTCTAGAGCAGAGTGCTGATGCAGGCCACAGAAACACCACGGGGCTGCCAGGCAGAAGGACATTACTGTTTCCAAGCAAAACCAGGATCACTGGCTCCAGCTCAGTGTGCACTCAAGCAGCATCCTTAAGTTTATATTCCTACATGCTACTCAGAAAGCTACCAATTTAACCTTGACCCCATTCCCATTTAATTTACTGTTTGGATCAATCTTTTTGAACTCTGCATGAGGCATGAAATTCTTCACTGTTAAGTGTTATTCTGCAAAGCCAAGACACCTAGCATCCTGACCCACATCTGTCTGGATTCTTAGAGATTTTATTTATTTTTAGAGAGTGGGGAGGGGAGGGAGAAAGAGGGGGAGAGAAACATCAATGTTTGAGAGAAGTATCGGTTGCCTCTCACATGCCCCCAACTGGGGACCTGGCCCGCAATCCAGGCATGTGCCCTGACTGGGAATCGAACTGGTGACCCTTTGCAGGCCGGAGTTCGAGCCACTGAGCCACACCAGTCAGGGCTGTCTGGATTCTTTTTAACAGCTTCATGGCTCTCCAACCCAGTCCCTTCACTGGTTGTCACTTCTTCTAAAATGCAAGTCCTGTTATTCCTGTTCTAAAAAGCTGCCCTGCCTCCTACTGCCCACAAAATCAAATCTAAGACACACGAGCCTGGCTGTTAACCCCTCCTGTCAGTATTTCCAGCCCTTGCATTCTTCGGCGTGTGAAACTGCTCACCAGCCCCTCATCGGCCCTGTGCTTTTCTTCTTCTTTCTAGTAGCTCCTTGCCTTTTGCACATCACAATTGTTCTTTCTGAAATGCCCTTTTCTCCACCTCAGAACAGCTACTCCTCTTAAGTCTTGTTTGATCTAAGATATCAGCGATCAGGCCTGAGCAGAGGAAATAGATTCAAAATCCCTCTTTTCACCTAGGGCTGGTATAGGGCCTGGCAGTTTCTTTTCATACACAAATGAATGACACCCTGAGGACAGCAGCTGTTCGGGAAGAGTGTGAATAGTTTCTGCAGACCCTCATCCTGCATCCTTCTCGACCTTCTACAAGACCAACCACTCATACCCTCTTTTCTCATTTACTCCTAATGGTCTGGAGGTGTGGCAAGACCGATCCTGCTGTAGCTCACCTGCGCATCGTATTAAAAGTTATGGATTAGACCCAGAAACTTTCTTAGCTGCAAGGCTGGTGTAGGTCATAAACACAAACCTGTTTCAAAACATTAACCCTTTCCTTAAATAGGCAAATACAACCCCCCCATCATTTTTTCCAAGTTCTTCTCCTTCTTGCCCACCACTGGAGGGGTCACTGAAGGGGAAAAACTGCTTAATAAGTTTCTTGCCATCTCAGAAGTAGCAGGAGAGAAGAAACGTTGGTTAGACACTGGATACTGGGGGTGGGGCATGATGGGTGTGGCCTAGTAGGTGTCCACCCATCTGGGCATCTTTCTGGAATGCTCGCTGAGTTTACCAAACTGCCATTTACTGAGACTGAGTATCTACACAATCTTCTTCTCATAGTTACATCAGCTCTGAGTTTGATCAATTCCCAGTTTACCGATGAATACACTTCCAGCTCAGCCTGGAGAAGTCAGCCAGGATTGGACTGCCAGTCGGGGATCCCCGGGGCTGGGCCTTTGGATCTGGAGGAGCAGGGGCCCCTCCTCCCTGAATCTCTGAGGTTGTCACAGGGCCTCACAGCCCAGCTTACTTTGTTCTCCAAAACAGGTTAGAACTCCTCACTTTCCACCGGCTCTCCCTCCCTTTCAAGGCTTTGTGCTCACTCAAATACTTACTGAGCGCTTACTACGTGCCAGGCTCAGTTCTCGGTGCTGGCGATCCCTCCGTGAATTAAACAGAGGTGCAGGCTACCCTGTGGCACTTCCTGTCCACCCAGCTGTGGAGACTGGCAATCAACAACCATGGTGAATAGCCACCAGTAAGTGCCAGGACGCAGACAGACAGAAGTAAAAGGGTAGCACGTAAAGGTAAGAGCGACTTCCGCAGACGAGGGGTCTGGGAAGGCTGAGACCTAAAGCAGGGGCGTCACACTCATTTCTACCCGAGGCCACATCAGCCTCACAGCTGCCTGCAGAGGGCTGAATGTAAGTTCAACTCCTCAACAGTTGAGGAGTACTTACACTCCTAAAATTATTTCGGCCCTTTCAAGGCAACTGCGAGGCTCATGTGGCCCCCATTTAAAATGAGTTTGACACCCCTTATTCTTTAGATCCTAAAGAATAAGAAAGCCAGCCATATAGAAAGCTGAGAGAACATTTTAGAGGGAAAAGCAAATGTCAAGGCCCTGTCCTGAGGCACGAAAGGGTCTGGTTTAAGGAACTGATGGAAGCAGGCAGGGCCGCGCCCACTGGGCCAGAACACCGAAGTCAGAGTCTCAAGGGCCTGACCGGGGCGTCCAACCTGCAGCCCGCGGGCCGCAGGCGGCTCATGGTGGCTCTGAATGTGGTCCAACAAAAAACCGTAAATTTACTTAAAACATGATGAGCTTTTTTTGTGATTACATATCACAATGTATTTAATGTGTGGCCCAAGACAATGATTTTTCTTTCAAAAGGTGGGACACCCCTGGAAGCAGGATCTTGACCTGAATTCCACTCCAGGTCCTGCTCCTGGTCCCATCTCTCCTCCCCTCTCAACAGACAGCTGTGCTCTCAACAGATTCTTGCAGAGCATGCTGTGGCTACTATAGGAGGAAGAAAAGACAGGAGCCCCCTGCCCCTTGGTTCCTGTGTGCTGGGGTGCTGGAACTGTGGGCTACAGCAACTTGCTATGTTTCTTAAAACATTCCTCTAATATTTGCTGAATAATCAAAACCCCAGCTCTCCTCAGGGCTCCTACATCAATTCTACACCTGCCTGTCACCTTTCTTGGCCCATACCCAGGCAAGCCCTTGGGTACCTACCATCTTCCTATGTCTGCCTCTATACCCAGCTGAATGGCTGGCCACTTATGAAAGGCGCTGGTACCCGCAGTTGGTATGCGTCTTTGCCCAGCAGGCTACAGCTGCATCCATTCCACAGGAGAGCCAAGGATAGCACTAGGCCCCTGGTCCTGCCAGGACAGGAAAGCTCCTGGGCAGGCAAGAGCCAGAGCCTTCTTGTGGCCTTTCTCTTCCTTTTCCGGTCCGCCTGGAAAGGTCCTGCCCCTGGGGGTTCTCCCTTATCCCTTTTCACCTCTATGATCCAAGCAGTACTTCTGAGCACACACACCACAGCAGGCATCAGCAGACACAGGGGGGAGCTGAATCCTGGCAAGGGCTACAAGGGATCTCCAAGGCCAAGGCTGAGCAGCTGGGCTCCATGAAGGAAGAGAACTAGCACTCTGATACCAGGTTAGCACGTCAGCCATCTCACCTGCACTATGTTTAATCCACGTGCAAGCCTGGAAGGGTGGTGAGCAGTGTCCCCAAAGTGCCAAAAGGGGGACCGGAACTCAAAGAGATGAAAGAGCTTGCCAAAGTCACACAGCCCGAGCACAAACCTGGGATGCAAACTCAGGGGCCCCTGCTATTTTTTTTTTAAAGGTTTTCTTTATCTCTGGAGAGAGGAGGCGGGGGGGAGGGAAAGAAAGGGAGAGAAACATCGATGTGAAAGAGAAACATGTATTGCCTGCCTCTGGTACACACCCCAACCTGGGACTGCACTCGCAACCCAGGCATGCCCAGACCAGGAACCACCCAGGACCTTTCGCCTTGTGGGATGACTCCCAACCACCTGAGCCACACTGGTCAGGGCCCTATGGCTATTCTTACTGTGCTTTGCTGTGTCTCACCGTGCAGAGGAATAATCATTATCATAATCCTAAAAGTAAACACTTGTTGAAACAAAACATATCAGGTGTTGTTCTAAACACTTCCCATTTAATTACTCATTTAATCTTCAACAGTTAATGAGACCGGTTCTGTGATGATCTCCATTTTATTTGGACTGTTGAAAAAACAGAGGCCCAGATCAAAGAGGTTCAGTAACTTGCTCAAGGTCACAAGTGCAAATGGAACTGGTCCAAACAGCCTGCTCCCAGGCAGGTGGAAAGAACTGGAGAGTCAGCCTAAAGCCTTTTCTCCTTGTTCAGTTGCTTCCGTCCCTCAGTCGCAGCTGCCTCCTCAGTGACCGGTACTACAGAAGAGCGCTGCGCCTCTGCCACCTCACCCCTGGATGCAGAGGAAACAGAGCACCATGACCTGGGTCAAGCAAGGTAGGGATAGGTGTTTTCACTGAGAAAGCAGTGCTGGGGAGGGGAGCCCGGGCGTGTTCTAGCAGCTGTGCGGGCCAACTAGCCCCTAGCTACACCTCCCATTTTGGCTTATATTCCTGAGAACAGCAGAAACCCCCCCCCCTCCACCCACATATTCTCCCACACACTCACCCTGGTCTGCAGAAAACTTGGCAGACTCGTTGTCTGTTTTGTCTTCTTGTCCGACAGAAATGCACAGCTGAGGGGGGCTGGGAAAGGCCAGGAGGCCTGAGCACGCCCCCAGTGCCAGCTGTGATAACAGGCTACCGGATTTTCTGTGGCCCCTTCCAGCAGCCCGACCCATGCCTAAGTCAGGAAAAGGGCACGTGGCTCACCCCCACTCCAGAGGTCCTTGGGCAGGTGGTGGGAGAATGCCAAGGTGAATTCCGTGATTAATATGGCCAAACAGACTGGGAACCAGCCCAAAAGCCTGTCTCTGGCATAAAGGAGGGCTCTGTCTGAGAGGCTGTGCCCTGACAGTATTTTGTTCCTTTTTATCAGAGGCTGAGCTGAAGGACGCAGGAGGAACCGCTGTGGCAAATGGGAGTGGGAGGGACACCAGAAAGCCGTGAAGGCCACAAAGATCAGGAGCAGGGCATCTGACACAAGTGCTTTAATTTCAATGTCTTTTTCAGCTGTGAAAGGCAGGCCCAAAAGAGCAGATGGGAGTGAAGGTGTGGAGAGACCTCTCCCAAACTTCACGGCACTTCCACATATTGCAACCACCTGCATCCGAGCAGGCTTGCAGTATTACAGTCACCTGGAGGGTGACTTTAAGAAATGGCAATTTCTCATTTGTTTAAAATATCTAGTGGGGGCGGGAATGAGTCAGGAATGTGTCTTTTTAGGGTCCCCGGGTTCTGCCACCCAGGCTGAGGTTACCATGGTTTAACCCACCAGTTTAACTTGTCCTTGTGGGCAAACCCCTTTATTCACAAAGAAGCTAAAAAAGACATACATACAGATGAAAATGTGGGGACACAGCCCTGGCTGGTGTTGCTCAGTGGACTGAGTGTTGCCCTGTGAACCAAGTCACCAGTTCGATTCCAGCCAGGGCACATGCCTGGGTTGCAGGCCAGGTCTGCAGTTGGGGATGTGCGAGAGGCAACCAATCGATGTTTCTCTCTCCCTCTCATTCTCCCTCCCTTTCTCTCTCTGAAAATATACAAAATCTTGAAAAAAAAAAAAAAAGACAGAAAACGTGGGGAGACAGAGATTGCCAGCAGGAAGAATGGGGGCGCAGCTAGCTTTGGGGCCAGAGGAAGGAGATCAGCCTGCTGGATCGGTAAGGGGTGCCAGGGCACACGGTGCCACCGAGCAGCCACCACAGCCTCTACTGCAGGCTTCTTTCTTGCCCAGTTCCCGGACTGCCGCCCTGGCCTCCAATTCCTTCAAGTCTCCACGCAAATGCTGCTTCCTGAGAGACGCCTCTCCTACAGACACCGAGGTGGTCTCTTAAATGACATCTCCTCCTCTCCGTGCTAGCCGAGGGCAAGGAGGGTTCCTGTTCTACCACTCTTTCCAGCACACGGCTCTGGGCCAGGCACAGAGCCCAGCCCTAGTCAGTACCACAGTGGAGAAATGGGGCCTGAACCTCCCAGCCCCGCTTCCCTCCCCAACAGACAGCCCGAGACGAGTCAGAAACCCCAGCAATAAAGTGGGTGTAGAGGGCGTCACAGGGACCTGTGAAAATCCTTCACAAATGACTTTTTTTGTTGTTGGTCTCACCCTCCCAACTGCCTAGCCCTAGGCAAGTACCAGCAAAGCAGTTAGTTAAATGACTCATTGACTTGCTAATGAACCGCTCCCGGGCAGTTAAAAGAGACAATCAGAAGAGAAGTCCCCAGGGGAAGAGGAAACCAGGCCAGGTGATTGGTACCGGGGTGTATTAGATTAAATGTTCTTTTGTCGATAATCTGCAAATGTTTTTAGTAAACAATGAAGTTTTAAAAGTTAAGTACAGGAGAAAGATGCCTCCAGGGACTCAGGCCCCCTTTTCCAATTGATAAGCCATATTTCCTTACTTTTGTGGTCCAGGCGGTTGCCATCTCCAACACCTGAACTTCATTTTCTGTCACTTCAACCGTTATTTACGAGCACCTCCCAGATACAAGGTCCTGAGCTAAACACTCAGGAGACAGTGATAAATGAGACCACTCCGGGGTCGAAATGTTGACCCAGTCCCAGGGCTGTGGGAAGGCACAGTTCCTCCAAGGGCGGGGAGTCGCTGGCTGGGTGGGGCCAGAATGGGGAGGGGAGGTGCCAGGGAGGAAGCCTGCTATGCAGATGGGGACAGGTGATGCTGTCCTTAAGTTGGCAGGGCCTCTGAAGGGTTGGACCAGCACAGAAAATAAGCCATACTCCAGAAATATTAAGGGGTATGTGTAAGAATTGGTGACTGATCACAGGAGCCTGAAAGAGTCATCCAAGAGAACTCGTAGAAAGGGAAGAAGCCAGCGTGGAGATGTTATCAGTCATCGACCAGGAAACCTGAGGTGCTTGGAGGGGAAACCTCCCAGCAGAGGCGGCCGTGTGCTGGGGACTCACAGCAGTTTCCACCCAAGACTGCCAGGCGGTCCCCACTGCTGTTTAACTCTCGGCATGACTCTAGGGCAGGGTGGCCACGGAACCCCTCCGACCAGGGGGTGCGGGGATCCAGCCTGGCCTGGTCAGAAGTCTCCAGCTAACCCCTGTCCCAGACACGCAGTCCTCTAAGAGGGACCTGGGATATGCTGTCCTGAGGAGCCACTAGTTCTCCACAAGAACGCTTTGGAGGAGAAACACTTGTGGCTTTGCACTTCTGCTCCGATTATGACAGGTGCACCATGGCCCCTGGCAGTCCGGACACGCTCAACCTCAGCGTCAGCATCTCTGTCCCCCATAGCACAGCCCTGCCGGCCACACCATCCACCTGCCAGTAACGCGGCCGGATGGAGTCTCGCCGGTTTTACACTGATGTACTTTGGAAAACTGTTAATTTTATAGTTGTGTGTAAGAGCAAAAGACATTTTAACCCAGTTTTCAGTTTGTGCACACTTAAGTAATGTGGTAATTAAAAATATTTTCCTTTAAAAGGAGATGGTACATTACTCAGATTTGAGAAACAGTGTCCGACTAAAATCAATGTCAGTAGTGTAACAACAAGTGGTCTGAGAACCAGTGGGAATACACAGCAGTGGCCTCCATGATTTCAAAAGAAAATGCTTAACAAATGCAGTGATTCGGGTTCAGGAAGGGTGGAAAGAACCCAAAGGAGATGGCCTGCAGGCCCAGAGGGCTGAAGGCCCCAGGGGCAGAAGAACGGAGAGATGGGGCTGCTGATGGGGCTGCTAAGTACCTTGGAGTTTGGACCGTCTCCCGAGGTCAACAGGGTTTGTGGCGTGTGTGCCGCAATCAGATTTGCACTTGTGTCCAAGAGACTGAGGGAACGAGGCTAGAGGCAGGAAGACCAGCAAAGAGGCTGCCTGGGTAATACGGACTCTCAGGGTCCAGACTTTGGCCTGTGAGCTCAAGTCTACCCCTCCTGGGAGGCCTTTTGAGGCTCCACAGTGGCTCTCTGCTGCCTTCAAACAGCAGTGATCACTTCTGGCACACTCCAGTGGCTGAGCCTCTCCTGCTATTCCATCCCAGACTAGAGGAAGGGATGAGTCTGGCTCCTGTCTGGGGTCCCAACTCGGCCCAACACAGAGCTGGGCACAGTGGGGTGCTTAGGAGGGCACTATAGGATGGGAGACAGCTGGGATGAGTCCAAGACCTATGATCTAGGACAGAGGAGAATGAAAAGTAGAGCAGAAGCACCCACTCTGAGCCACGCAGCGCACAGTGAGCCCTGGATTCTTCTCAGCCCCTCCTCTGGAGGCACCGTGCGAGTGCCACACCACCTCCCCTTTTCAGAAGAGGAAACCTGAGGCCCAGGGAGGAGGCAGCGACATGGCCAAGGTCCAGGCTTCCTCTTGTGGAGAAGATGGGCTCTGAGTCAGGGTCTGTAATGCTAGAGCCTTTCTTGTAGACGGACTCCAATTAGCCAGTGCTGGGAGAGTGTAAGTCAGGTGACAGGAGTCCTGAGGACTGAACACTCACCGTGAGACTTCACGGAGGAGGAAGAGGGACAGAAGCTGGGAAGACTGGGGGGGGGGGGTGTTCAGAGTGGGTAAGAGAAGGAGGGAGAACCCATTCCACGGATCCGATTGGAGTAATGGCTGGGAAAGGACGAAGGGAGGCAGGGCGGGGCCTTTGCTAGGCTGAGGCCCTGGCGTCTCCCAGGCAGGTGACAGACAGACAGACAGACCCGAGGCATCCTGCCTCAGCACCACGAAAGCAGAAGAAAACGCCAGCATGTCGGCAACTGAGACAATTCCAAGGAGATAAAATCTTGCACTTTGACAAAAGGTAGATAACAGTCTTCCGAATGTGCTCAAAGCCCTTCCACATCCAGTTCTGCATCTGTCCCTCAGAACGGTTCAGTCAGGCAGAAGAGGACAGTCATCCCCACTTCACAGGTGGGGAAATCGAGATGTGATCCACAGCTTTGAATCAGCAGAAATGGGTTTTGGACCCCGAATGTCTCTGCACTTTCCTTGACCATGATCCCAACACAATCTTAACCACACTGCAGACCATCAACTTCTCCACAACCAAGTCGCCATCCAAGCACCACCTGCAGGGGCTGGGGACCTAATCCCAGGCACTCAGTGCATTCTCACTTCCCACAGCCTCCAGTGTTCATGACCACACCTAGGCGCTAATACTGATCCCTGCTTCTTTAAAACTCTCAGAAATCTGAAATCTAGCTGCAAGGGCCTCAGTCACTATCCTCCCTTGAGGCAGGGGGAGTGGGTGTTCTTATCTGCCCAAAAAAGAAACCAAGGCCCAGAGAGGGAGGTGACCAGCCTTGGGCCACACAGTGAGTCAGTGACAGGGCTGAGATAGGACCAGAACCCAGGTCTCCTGCTACCCCCTCCTTACCTGCAGCACAGATAAGTTAGTTTGTCCAGACAGGCTCAGCTTCTCCTGCTCGGAGGGGTAGGCATTGTACCGGTGCAGGTACAGCCAGTCCCGGAGGATCTTCACTGACTCCTTGGGCAGGTTCCCTCTGCGCTTCCTCTTGCCTGCCAGGGAGAGGAGGCCTTCGTCCTCACCCAGATCACTGTCTGACATGGTGTCGAGGGGCTAAGCTGGACCTCAGGAAAGCCTGGAACAAGGGACAAAGGTGACGGGGACATTATTACCATGCACTGCCACTTACCCTCTTCCTAGTCTGCAAACACACCACTGCCAGGGCCTGGGACACCTGACTGAACCACGGGGAACCGTGGTTTGAAGCTTCAGACCGTGCACAGCCCAGACGGGCCAGCAGGGAGAGTGCAAAAGGCCTCCGCTTCAGTAGGTGACTGCTGACCAAAATGGCAGCTCATGTTTCTCATTTAAAAATTTTTTCAGTTACAGTTTACACTCAGTATTATTTTGTATTAGTTTCAGGTGTACAGCATAGTGGTGAGACAATCACACATATCCCAAAGTGTTCCCTGGAAATGGCAGCTCACTAATAAGTAGCACCAGCTACCACTGAGGTCTGTTTTTCCATGCTCTGTACTGAGCACTTTCCATTTATTATCTTATTCAGTCCTCATAAAGCCCTAGTAAGGGAGACACTGCTATCGTCACCATTTTATAGATGAGCAAAGCAAGACCCAAAGAGATTAAGAAGGCCATTTGTGATACTATGGTGATTAAACAGTTATCATGTGATCCAGTAATTTCACTACTAGGCATCTACTCAAGAGAAACGAAAACCTATGCCCACACAAAAGCTTGTACACAAGTATCAACATTAGTCATAATAGCAAGAAGTGTCTATCAACAGATGAATGGATAAGTAAAACGAGGTCTATCCATACAGTGGAATGTTACTTGGCCATAAAAAAGATTTGAAGTCCTGATCCACTCTACAATGTGGACGGACCTGGAAAATATTATGCTAAGTGAAAGAAACACACCACGAGGAATACACATCATGTAGTTCCATTTTAATGAAATGCCCAGAATAGGCCAGAAGGGGGTAGAAGGAGGGGTTTTTTAGGTAATAAAGATGTTTAACATTGACTGTGGTGATGGTTGCGGAGTTGTGAATGTACAGCTCACCCTTGAACAATGTGGGGGCAGGGGGGCCAGCCCCACACAGTGGAAAACTGCAAATAACTTTTGATACCCCCAAAATTTGTCTGTCTCTGTATTTAAAGGGGAATAGTTCCAGGAACCCCTGGAGGATACCAAAACCAGTGAATGCTAAAGTCCTCTACATAAAATAACATAAATCAAAGCATCCATGAACTTCAAAATACAAATGGAAGGCAGTACAGGTATTTATTGAAAACAAACAAACAAACAAACAAAAAACAAAAAAAACATGCTTAAGTGGACCCACAAAGTCTCAACCTGTGTTGTTTAAATTTCAAATGTACTAAAAACCACTGGCTTGTTCACTTTAAATTGGCAAGTTCTATGGTATGTAACATATCTTAGTAAAGCTGCTATGGGAAAAAACCTCCCATATAGGATGCAGCACATATAGTATAGTGGGTCTGGAGCAAGGTAGTTAGCTCCCACACCCTTACTCCATACTGACTTGCCTCCCAGGTCTCTCGAGACCAGTGAGGGTCAGGAAACTATGGATCACCATGGTCTTACAGCAATCCCTGTAACATTTACTGTGCACCTACTGTGTGCCCTGCAAAAAGTGTCGAGTCATCCCTACTAGTTGTCTCTCAGACATTCTCCTTTGTCATCTAGCTCCCAGTCTGGTCCCTTCAACCTGGCTGTGTAACTTTAGGCAAATGTCCTCGCCTCTTTTGGGCTTGAGCCCCTCTTCAAATGAAAGATGTTTCCCTAGACAACCCAGCTCAGTTGCTCAGACCCTGACAAACTTCTTGTTCACACATGCAAAAGAGATTTACATTTTAAAATCAAAAGTTCCAGGCCAAGCAGATGCTAGAATCTCAAGGCTCCTCCCTCCTCAGCCTTTAATAGCTCCCCAGCCGGCTGGGCCAACAGACTGGCATTTCCCAGGTTTTGTTTCCTAGACTTGGGCCAGAGCCCAGATAACTGGGCTGGCTAGGCCAGGCTTTCGAGGGAAGGGTCTACCCTCCCAGCCAGGCCACCTGGAGGTGAGACAGGCATTGATTAGAGGTGCCACTACTCAGAGAGCACCAACAGGCTGGCTGCTTTCTGAGGTCAGGTGTCTGAAGTTTAGCTGGCCAGGGCAGTTGGGATCTGGGTTCAGGGACGCATCCCTGGCAGGCTGAGTTTACTCAAGGTTGTATGTACAAATTCCAACCTGGCTGTCCGCCAAGTTCCAGTCTGCAGGATTCCAGAGTGTCCTGCACCTCCGCCCGCCTACAATCCGGTGAGATATCTCACAAATACACCCCTTCCTCACAACAGCACTCATAACTGGCACCAACTAGTCGCTCAGCCCCTGGAACGCCCATGAATTTCACTGACAAATACAGCACACACGCAGCTTACAAATATATCTCACTTCTAGTACGGGCAACTGGTACCCATAACTAGCCCAACTCCTGGATATAAGCCCACCCACGAACTCCAACCCGACCCGCCCACCCACGATCTCTCAGACTGGGAAAACTCCAGACGTCATCACACCAGCCATCAGTTCTTACCCTAACTGGCCTGAGGCAGCCAAGTCTCGACACAACACCCGCTGCACCCTGCTACACTCTCCACCACGCAGACCTGCAGCCACTCTCGCATGAACTTTCTGACAACTCTCCAGGCTGGCCGGACACTCCCCCGCGCCGCGCACTCGCGCTGCATTCCCAGCAGTTCACACAAAGCGCGCAGCCTCCCCCGCGGCCCAGACCGAGTCAGAGCACATGGCTCCCCGGGCGGCAGAGAATCCGACTGCACTGGGGGCGCCTGCACCTCCTCACCCCCCAACCCCGCGTCAGACTCGGAGCTGCAGCTCAGCCGCGGGCCAACAATTCAATGGGGCGGAGGCTCTGGAAGAAAGAAAACTCACGTGTCTGTCCCGCGGCAGGAAAAAGTTTGGTTCCCACCCCCTTCCCCCGCAGCTCGGCGCAAGCTGACTCTTCGGGGCTCGGGGCCGGCCGAGCCTGCGCGCTCCGCTTTGTGCTCCGAATTCGGCCCGGAGGGGGAGGGGAGAGGAGGGGGCTGGGCTCCCACCTCCGCACCGCCCCCCCCCCAGCCCTGCGCCCAGACTCCATGTTGGCCGCCCCCTACCCCAGAGGCTGAGAGCTTCCCCCGCAGGAGGCTCGGCTTATACTCCGCGTGCCCGAGGGTCCCCGCGCGCACAAACTTTCTTCAGGTCGCTGGCCCCCCGAGCCCCACTTCCTTGGCCCGCCTCAGAGTGACAGATGCCTCAGAGACAGACTTTCCTTTGTTTCAAAGGAAAGGGGAACTCGCGCGGGCTCCCGGGCCCTCCCACCTCCAGGCCCTTCCCGTTGCCCCCACCCGCAGCTGTCACTCTCAGTGGCCCCCACCCCCGCTCCGCCGGAGCGCGGCGGCGGGGGGGGGGCGGCCGGCGGTTAGCAACGTGCACTTTTGAAACCAAACAAACCAGCCCCGCGCGCTCACCCCGGCCGGGGCAGGGGCGGCCCGTCTGCCGTGGTGGGGTCCCAAAAAGCTGGGTTCCCCCTAAAATGTCCTCGAGAGAGCTTTTCCCCGGGGGTGGGGCACCCCTCCACCGGCCCCAGCCCGCACACTGCGGTTGGGACTCAAAAACACCAGAGTTCACACACCCACAATCGCACGCGCCAGGACGACGCCCCCTCCCCCGCCCGGCCCAGAAAAAAAACTTTCCAAGTTGTCCGCGCGCCCCCCGCCCCCATCTGCTCCGCTTCTATGTCCCACACTGACTTTCCCGAGAGGCTTTTCCGTCCACGCGGCCTTGAGCTCGGTCCGGGGCGTCCTGGCAGGGGGCAGAGGGCGCTGGGGAAGCGCGCCGCGTACCTGCCGGGCCTGACACTCGGCCTGACAGCTCGCGGCTGGAAAGCACCTCGCGGCCTGACGTCAGATCCCCTCTCCTTCCCCCACCGCCCCCCCGTCCGCTCCTCGCCCTCCCCCACCCACCCGGAGGGAGAAAACAAACTTTGTGCGGAGCGCGTCGAGCTACGCCCACCCACTGCGGGGCGTGCCGCCGGCGGCGATGGGCTTCGCCCCGCCCACCGCGCCCGGAGGGGGCGGGGTCGGGAGGGCACCTTCTTCCTGCGCCCACCCCCACCCTCAGGAATGCCACATGGCCTCCGTGGAGGAGTGGTGGGAACCCTGCCTAGGGGTTGAGCGCTTGGGGGCGGGAAGGGGCCCGTACCTCTTTTCGGAGAGCATTTCCGGAGCGCCTACTGTGTGCTTCACGCTGGGGGAGGGGTCCTCTGCTTGGAGGAGAAAATGCAAATTCCGACGTTTGTAAGTTTGCTCCCTCCACCAGGTTCTCCCGCAGGCAGTGTGATTGTTACTAAGGTTCTGAGAGGAAACTGAGGCCCACGTAGCCCATGGATTTACCCCCAGCTGGTTAGGACCGCCTCTGAATGCGACGCCTACTCTGCCCACAAGGGCCCGTAGAGTCGGGTGGAAGGCTCCCTCTGACACCACCGCAAAGCCTGTAGCCCCAAGGTCTAGCGCACGAGTGGCGGCCTGAGGTAATATAACAATCGCCAACTCTGCAGGAGTATTTGTAACACAAGAAGCTGAGGGGGGCACTTCAGGGGTATCTTCCCGTCTAATCCGGTTTATGGGGTAGGTGCTGTTATGTATCAGTCCATGGTTTGTTTGCTCTTGAGCTTCAGAGAGGTTCCTGCTTTTTGTCGCACTGTCAACTGGTGTCACTCTGGCCACGCAGATAGACAGCGGAGCCTAAGCCATGGCCTAGACCCCGTTGACACAAGCCCTTGAAGGAGGCAGACCACCTGTCTAGGAGCTCCCAGCACTCCTGGCCAGTTTCTTTTTCCTCTGCCCATAAGACCCAACTCCAGGACATGACCGTTAGTCTTCCCCAAGCCGTCCTGCCGACACTCTGCTCCCTTCTCTGTGCGCTCTGTACCGCTTACTGTGAAATACCCGTTAACCAACCCTCCTAGGACCTTGGAGTAGGGGGAAGATATTGCGTGCTACCAGACTCAGCCCTTGCCCCTCCGCCAGCCCCCGGCCCCACCCAGCACATCAGCCTAAAGAAAACTGGGCAAGGCCTTCCCTGGGCCCCTGGTTCCTTGTCTGGACCCAGACACCTGGGACCCTTGAGCTTGGAAATCAGAAACTTTGAAATGACTTTTGGTCTTAATAGCACGTTAGCAATGGAGAACTCTGAGAACAAAAATCGAATTTTCTCCAAACGGGCCGTAAGCCAAACCGAAATGCTGATTAAATTACTGTTAAGATGCACCTGGACTCCACTGAAGCCAGACTTCCCTACAAAGGCTTAAAACCTAGCTGGTCGTCCTACCCTCCTCACAGCAGCACCCGAAGTGTCAGTGCCACTACCCAGTGCTCTCCATTTTGCAGATGGGGACACCAAGGCCCAAAGTCGAGGCCCCAAACAATTTCTTGGGGAAGTTGGTGCTTGGTCCACAGCCTTCTTAGAAAAAAAGAGCGACGCTCAGGGGAGTCTCAGGTAAGAAGGATAAAAACCACTGGGCGGTGACCGCTAGGATCACAGAGCATGTGTGGGGCAGGGACCTTTAGAAGGGAAAACAGGGGCGCAGCCAGGTGACCCTGCAGATGTGACTCTGTCCCCAGCACTTAGTGCCAGGTATCATGCCTGACAGCCAGACTCTCAATTTGGGGGGAGCCACTGGGGACATGGGCTTGAACCCAAAGACCTTCCCTGCAAATCTGGCTACCAGCAGCAGCCCCCGAGGCCAGTGCTTCCGCAGTCTGGTGCTGGGTGAGGTGCACTAGGGCAAATGGAAGGGAGCAGCTCCTTTCCCCCCTTAGCCAGAAGTGGAGTCGCCCAGGAGCTGATAACCTAGGAGCAGCTTCAGGAGTTCCAGACTTCCAGAAGAGAGAGGAGGAAGGTTGGGAGGTCGAACCAGGCTGATAGTGTGTCAGGATTTAGCATTTTCAAGATGTTTTTTTAACATCGGCTGGGTAGCTCAGTTGGTTAGAGCATCTTCCTGACACACTGAGGTTGCAGGCTTGATCCTTGGTCAGGGCGCATGCAAGGATCAACCAATGCTTACACAAATAAGTACAACAACAAATATGATGTGTATCTCTTTTTCTCTCTCAAAATCATTAAATACATTTTAAAATATATTTTATTGATTATGCTATTACAGTTGTCCCACCCCCCCCCCTTATTCCCCTCTGCCCTGCATTCCCTCCGCCCTTAGTTCATGTCCATGGGTTGTACATACAAGTTCTTTGGCTTCTCCATTTCCTATACTGTTCATAACCTCCCCCTGTCTATTTTGTACCTACCTATTATGCTTCTTATTCCCTGTACCTTTTACCCCATTCTCCCCCCACCCCTCCCTGCTGATAACCCTCCATGTGATCTCCATTTCTGTGATTCTGTTCCTGTTTCAGTTGTTTGCTTAGCTTGTTTTTGGTTTTTTAGTTTCTGTTGTTGATACTTGTGAGTTTGTTGTCAATATAAATACATTTTTTAAAAGTAGTTTTTTTTAGCCCTGGCTGGTGTAGCTCAGTGGAATGAGCACTGGCCTACAGACCAAAAGGTTGCCGGTTCCATTCCTAGTCAGGGCACATGGCTGGGTTGTAGGCTGGTTCCCATTTGGGGGTGTGGGAAGGGCAACCATTCAATGTTTTTCTCACATGTCATTGTTTTTTTCTCCCTCTTTCTCCCACTTTTACCCTCTCTCTAAAAACAAATAAATAAAATAATTTTTAAAATAGCCCTGGCTGGTGTGGCTCAGTGGGTTGAGCGCTGGCCTGTGAACCAAAGGGTTGCCAGTTCGATTCCCAGTCAGGGCACATGCCTGGGTTGTGGGCCAGGTCCCCAGTGGGTGGCACATGAGAGGCAACCGCACATTGATGTTTCTCTCCCACTCTTTCTCTAAAAATAAATAAAATCTTTTTAAAAATTTTTGAAATAGGAGCCCTGGCTGGTGTAGCTCAGTGGACTGAGCGCAGGCTGTGAACCAAAGTGTTGCAGGTTCAATTCCCAGTCAGGGTACATGCCTGGGTTGCAGGCCATGACCCCCAGCAACCGCACATTGATGTTTCTGTCTTTCTCCCTCCCTTCCCTCTCTAAAAATAAATAAAATCTTTTAGAAAATTTTAAAAATACGGTTTTTTACAGAACAGGCTAACAGCTGTCTGAGGGCTGGGGGTTGTTTGGTGCTGGGTGAAAAAGGTGAAGGGATTAAGTAAAAATAACCCTCATAGACACAGACAACAGTATGGTAATTACCATAAGGAAAGGGGTGAGGGGTAGGGGGAGGTAGAAGAGGGTATGGGGAAGATCAATCGTACAAGAAGGAAACAAGTTTTTTTATTCAATTACAGTTGACATTCAATATTATGTGAGTTTCAGGTGTACCACATAGTAGTTAGACATTTATGTAGCTTACAAAGTGATCTCATTAAGTCCAGTACCCACCCAGCACCATACATATTTCTTATAATATCATTGACTATATTCCGTATGCTGTACCTTACATCCCCGGGACTGTTTTGTAACTACCAATTTATGCTTCTTAATCCCCTTCACCTTTTCACCCAGCCCCCCAGCCCCCCTCCTATCTGGCAACTGTTAGATTATTTTTTCTATCAGTCTGTTTCTGTTTTGTTTTTTAGGTTCTACATATAAGTGAAATGGTAAGATTTCATTTTTGGGGCCAAGTAATACTCCAGTTATCTGTTTATGGGCACTTAGGTTGCTTCCATAGCTTGGCAATTGTAAATAATGCTTCATTGAACATGTGGATGCAATATCTTTTCGAATTAGTGTTTTGGGTTTTTCTCAGTTAAATGCCCAGAAGAGGTATTGCTGGGTCATAAGGTAGTTCTATTTTTATTTTGTTTTATTTTTTAAGGGAGTTCTATTTTTAATTTTTCGAGGACCCTCCATACTATTTTCCACAATGGCTGCACCAGCCTGCATTCCCACCAAGCGGTACAGGAATGCTCCCTTTTCTCTATGCACTTCCCCAGCACTTGTTGTGTGTTAGGATTGTGCGTTGTTAAACACACTCCTCAGGTAAGGCCTAAATACCTGGAGTTTGAGAATTACCATGTAAAGTTTCTCAACTAGTGTCAGTATCAAAATGTGTGCATCCTCCGTGAATGGGTGGAGCAGCAAGTTGATGTTTGTCTCTCTCTCTCTCTGCCCCCTTCCTCTCTCTCTCAAATCAATACCTTAAAAAAATAAATAAACAAAATGTGTGTATCCTCTGAGCCAGTAAACCTACTTGTAGGAATCTGTCAAGAGAAATGATCTCAGACCAAAGATAAATGCTTATGCAAGATTGTTCTTCGCTTCGAGGCACTCTTCACTTGGTGGAAGGCTGTGAGTGGGGCGTGCCTCTCCCTGGGAGGGACTTGACCCCTGACAGAGACCGGGCCCTCAGTGCAGCAGGGTGTTGCAGTGGGGCGAGTCTGTGCACTAACCAGGGGGACCGTCAAAGTATACTTATTAGGACAGTGGCCCGCAGGGGTTCCTGGGGGTGTCCTGAAGTGGTGTCTAAGGAGAGGTGGGAAGACAGTAGAGGTAGGGTGATCAGGTGAAGCAGCTCTGGGTGACTGAGGCCAAACAGATGGAGAACTGTCCCTGATGTCTAGATCTATAGCCTTCAGTTTGACAGCATCTCAACAGCCCGTAGTATCTCGCTGGTCAGCCACAGTTTGCTTGGCTTGCTCCTAGTTGTTGGGTACCCACGCATTCAGCTAGTTTTTGATGCCTGTGCGTGTCGGGCTGTGTGTTTGAAAGTGGAGCGCTCCTTGCCTGGACCGTCACGAAGGGCTTGGGCAAGGTGACAGGATTAAGAAGTATAAAGTGGCAGTTACAAAACAGTCACGGATATGACGTTCAGTCGAGAATGGAGCCAGGGTTGGACATGAGAGTC